AAATTTGTAGTTGAGACATTGCTCTTTCTAACAAAAAAAAATTGATTGGTTCAGAAGTCGGGAATATGGTCTAACAGAGTTTGACATTTTTCCAAAGACTTTTGCACCGCTTATTATTTAATAATGAACGATGTCATATTAAATTAGCTCTATTATTGAATGGGTTAGTGTGCTAACACATGAGTTATTTCTATTGGTAAAATATGTATTAGATATTCATCATCATTTATTGAGAAGCAATATCGAAAATTTTTCAACGATTATATATCACCAACATCATTTTTACCTTTCATTGATGATGAGAAACAATTTTCCGTATGCATAACAAATTACTAGATCGACCAACCAACTTACAATCGCAGTTGGTATTGAGTGCAGCAAAAGCTGATATTAATAATGATCAAACAGACGAAGTAGAAAATCAACAAATAAAAAATAAAAATAACCAAATTAAGCAAAAGAAAGATTATGAAGATAAACTAGTCATACATTACACGCATGAAAAATGTTTTCAATCATCGAAACGAGACATACATCAACTCTATAACAATGTTTTCAAAGACATACCAGTGATTGACATAAAACTAATTATTGGCAATCGCAACCGTCGAAATTGGAAACATGAACTCATCCGTAAAAGATCCAAACCAGCGCTATTAAAGAATAAGCCAATTCGAAGTAAGTACTATTCAAATGAGATATAACATATGCTTCTTAAAATTTATCACCAATTTACTTCTTTATTCAAAAGAACGACGGAAAAACATGAAGGTACCCAGAATCGACACGTCATCTCATTCAACTCGACCAACAGCAGACACAACTTGAAGTACCTAAACAACGCCGCTTGTCTATCCAAGCACAAAGTGAAAACAAAACAAGATAATGAACACAATGCTTTCTTCCTTCACTACATTTAAATATACAACACATGTGTTCTTATCCTACCAAGAATATAATTTAAAAAAATCGAATCAATAAAATCTGATTTCCAACAAAAGTCCTCCTCATTCATTCGTATTTCTATATTCCAGATCATAAGACATACTTCATTGCAAGTTCTCCAATTTATAACTCCAGATAAAAGAAAAGACACAATGCGATTTTCGTCGACCTCATCCAAACAACTAAACGATCCGACTTCATCAATGCAATGACGGAGACAGAACCGTCACTAAAACCATCTCCACTTATGAATCTAAACATTTATTCAAATCAAATAGCTCCATTAACAGAGGACGAATATATTATAATTTACCAGGAACCAATGTCATGAGACACACCCAAACCACGGTGCACATTTCGCAAAGCCAATGAGCCAATCATGGTAGTTTCTTTATGCTACTGCCTGAAAAAATTGAATCTTCAATTATAAATTCGTTTTGTAACACTAAAAATTTATCTTGTTTTGGATTTCCTTTTGAAAATTCAGAAGAGATAAGCTATCTGACAAGTTTCTTAAGCATGGACGAAACCGGTCGTGGCAGCTCCTTCACGCCCCACATCCACACTCAAAAATGAGGATAAGACTTTTGAGTTTTAAAATGAGAGAAAGATATGCTTCGGTTTTTGTCGATGAACTCGCAACATTCGTTAATCAACAAAGAAGCAGGATATTTGAACAAGTAAACTCTTTTTAAAAATTTTTTTATACCCAACCTCGATGATATTGATCAAAAGGATCGATGAAGATGATAAAAAAATGGGATTTTTGCTTTGGTGTCCTTTATAAATAACTACTCGTCACCATCTATTTGTAAACAAAAGTGCCCAGTGACTACTATAATAATATGAAAAAAAATCATTAAAAAAATCTGTTTTAAGAATTCAAATACTTCTTTCGTCAAATGTGCATCTATATCCGATAAATTGATGTATCAATCTATTTGTAAAACTGTATCTGAGACGCGTCATTGTTTACATCAGAAAAGTACAAATAGCACTCAAACTCAATATTCGATAAGAAGCAATTGACATTAACCCTTTACCCCTCATAATGATTGCAGATGAATCACTAATAAAACAACTATTGGAACAGAGTATTTTCGTCCTCAGCAGGCTAATAATTTGTTCAGTTCGCAAAAATACAATTTATTTTTTTAATTCAACAGCGTGAATAAAGAAAAAAATAAATAGATGACAGGATTTTCTTTTTTCTTCTGCATCACATGTTTCTCTGAAACAACTTTCTAGGCATATGAAGTCTATTTTTCTCGAAATAAAGAAATCATCAAGTCAACGATATAATTTATTATTGATTCAGACTTCTTCAAATTAGAGTATCGGAAAAGTTAAAAGAATTAATGTTTGAATGTAGATATAGTCGAAATCTTTACTTTTGCAATACCGACACTCACAATCATACCTACATCAAACATTCACATAACAACATATAACGCTCATATATATCAACCACAGCAATCTCTTTACTTCTCTATGTAAAAATATTGACAAATATTATGTTTAGGCAAGAATTTCTAGATCTTCTTTCATGTCATTACCATCCAATTGCAATCGTAGTTGCCATTTTATGTTGTATAACCTCTTCTTTAAATAATTTGTGTAAAAATTTTTTAAACTCATTTTATTCGGCAGTAACAACTCTCATCGATATTTATCAAGCAGTGCATCATCAAGATAACTATTTCTCGTAGGTAAAACAAAGACAGTTTACCAATGAGAGATCCTTTTTTAGTAATTTTATAATCATTAACTTTGTAAGTCATATATCTTAAAAATATAGCAAGTATACCAAACCTTTTCTTTGACCGATTGATAGCTTAGGGAGTTCTCTGCACATATTGTGCAAAGAGTTGTTTGATATGAAATGTTCTACATTTTCTGAAATATCTCTTTAAATGGTAATTCCGATTGCAATGAAATGGAAGAGGGTTAACTAAAAGAATGATTATTTTTAATACACGTATTTCCACTCTGCAATTTACTCCATTACGCTTTCTTGAGTATCTCTCCGTGCGCATGCAATTGTACTCAAGGGTTGCTTATCAATATTAACTCATTTACTTCTAATTGGAAAAAGAAACCAATTCAAAAATAGATTTCAATTATTATCACTTGTTTCAGTTTTGGCAGAATCATTTTGATTAAAATTATTTTAATATACGACTGATTTCATCATAAAAGAAAAGATTTCTACGATACAAATCGATTAAAACTCCTTCAGCTTCCCGATCATTACAATCCACATATACGTAGGAAAATGGTCATAATCAAAATACTGAATAATATTCTCATGAATGAAGTAGCTTATCATTTACTAAATCATCATAGAGTTCATATCGACATATAACTATCACGATAGATACTGCTAAATGTCAACTTTTTCCTTTCTACTAAACATTTCCATCCCTACTTTTACAAATACTTAATTTCAACCCTGTACATAAATCATAAATTAATCAAAGACCGACAATGTTTTCAATGCCCTCACAGAGATCGCAACTTTCGGCACTCCAACATAAAATATATTTAAACGTCAATATAAAATAAAAAAAGTTACTTAGGGTATATCAAAAGTACGGGCAGTGACACTTTAATACCGTATAGTAGGCTTAAATAACTTTCTTTCTATATAGTCTGATAGAGAAAAAAAAGCTCTATCTTTCTATGCTATTTGATCGTACTTCAACTAATATCATAATATTAAATTATCTATAAAACCTATTTCGGCTGGTTATATGAATACTGATGAGTATTTCTTGAGTAACTTTTAATGGAAACAAGATAGAGGGCTGCGGTTTTCACTATTGGAAAGAGCATATGAGGATGCATCGAATCGTATATTACAGGTTTTTCTAATATGATTTCTTAAGGGTTTTTATTCAATTTTCTTACTGTCGAAAAAGTAGCTTTTTTATGAAAAAACCAAAAAGCAAAGAATATTGATTTTTTTCACAGATTCCGCTAGAAAATCGTATTAGAGGCTCGACTGAAACGCATCTTATTTATCTGAAACTTTCACACTTTGCGGATCTTCGATTAATGATCTGAATTTATACTTAATAATTGAAAATTCATTATGAACAACTTACTACATAGGTTGGTCTTCAAAAGGCAAATTGAAAACTTTACAAAAAACATATCAGAAAACCCTAGAATATATGATTCGATCCGTCTTCATTTCCTACTTCCAACGGTGAAAATCGCAATTCTCTATCTTGTTCCTATCAGAAGTTATTCAAAAAATACTCACTCGTAGTTTTTAAAAGTGGCATCAATACAACCAGTACATAACCAGCCGAAATAGGTTTTATAGATAATTTAGTATTGTGATATTAGTTGAAGTACGATCAAATAGCATAGAAAGATAGAGCTTTTTTTTCTCTATCAGACTATATAGAAAGAAAGTTATTTAAGCCTACTATACGGTATTAAAGTGTTACTGTCCGTACTTTTGGTATGCCCTAAGTATGATATGCCAGAAACCATGGAATACAAAAGAATTTCTCCTGTATTTATATTTGAATTTGTTAAAAATTTCCAGTCTCGATCACTCCTACTTCGGTTGAAGTTCCAATATAATACAGTTTAAGCAAAACTACCGTCCTTAGAAAACCATTTTGTACTCATAGAAACTGAATCCACACACCACTTCACTGCTATTTCTTAATAAAATTCACTCTTACCTTACCTTGAATCCGGTTAGCCTCCAACATATCACCCCATTGATGAACTATCATTGCCAAACTATAATTCATTTATCATCATCTTAAGACCATACACTATTTCGAGCTTCTTAATCTTTTCTCCTCACAACATACAGGGATAATTACATCAACAAACTGTCCATTTGACGTGTCAATGAAATCGCGTAACAATCTCATAAATAACTCAAAACACGCACAGCAGGTAGTAAAACAAATCCACGACAGCTTCTTTCAGAAACTGCCGAGGTAAAACTCTCACCTATAAAAGAAACTGCATCAACAGCTCCACACATGCACCTTGAACACTCCTCATCATACATATCTACCTCAACCCTATAATACCTCGCGCCTCACCGGACAATCATTGAACACTTCCAGTACCAAAATACTTGAAACACAACAATAACGAAGATCAAGAAGATGACCATCATCATCAATAAGACCATAATCAAGAAGATGACCATCATCATCAATAAGACCATAATCAGGATCATAATAACGATCAATACGAGCAAGATCATGATATGCGTCTTGTGTGTGATTAGTTGCTTGTTGGTTTTGTTGATGATGACTGTGTTGGCCTAAAAGAAGATCAGAAAGACATTTAGTTTTGGATCTGTTCAATGTAGTTTGTTTATGGTTTTTGTGTCGGGTGGGAGAGGGACATATGTGTTTTTTAGTGGTTTGTGGTGTATGTTGTGAAAGAGAATTGATTAGGTGGGAGATTATGGTGTAGATGGAGTAGTGGAAATGTAAGTTTTGATGGTTGTTGGTGATTTAAATATAGTGATATTTTTCCGTTTGTGGTGTAGTGAAAGGTTCTAATGTTCTATTATTGTCTGTTGAAAAAAAAAGTGGCCGTGGGTGTTTTTGCAATAACTCAAGAACGGAAAGAGCTAGAGAGCTGCGGTTTT